AACCATTAGATACTCTAGGAACACTCAACTGAGGCATGTCTATGGGAAGGAAGGCCCTTTGTTCATTTCTCATTCCATAACACTGATGGTAAACCCAATGTATACCAGGACAAAGGATGAGCTTGAGGCTCTTCTACCTGGGAGTGGGTTGCAAGCTATCAAGGATCCTCTGAGGCCAATTAATACTCAGGCTTGGATCAGTCAGCACAGAGGGACACTGTGTATTTGAGGGAGGGCATGGGAAGGGTAAGGACAGACTTCATAGGAGAGTTGCTAACATAGCCAGTGTAGCTAGAACACACAAACATGGGAAGGATGAAGGGAAAACAAGGCTGCAGAGGTCTCGGGTAGGAAGCTGGGGTGCTTAATTCTCCCTGTGGCAATGAGAGCCACAAAAGAGTTTTAAAAGGGAAGGTGACATGGTCAGCACTGGCCAGAGGGCTGATTGCTCTAAGGCAGCATGGCATGCAGGATAGTTGAGAATCTGGATGAGGGAGACCAGGGCCTAGACCAAGGTAATGGCAGGGGTTGAAAGGAGAAGAAAGGATGGGCTCCTAAGGCATGGAAGGACACTGATAAGATGTGGAAGTATGAAAGAAAGGAGCCTGCCCCACAGAGAAATGTCTCAGAAGAAGCTACCTTGGGTGGGTAATCTCAGGATGAATGGACATGAAGGAGCTGGATGGACAAAGAAGAGAGAAACTATGGGGTAGCATGTGGAGTCAGGAAAAACAACATTTTAGTTATTTGCCATTCACTGAGTTTCAAGCACCCTCATAGGCTCAGACACCACTCCAAAACTCCCAGGTGGCAAGGAGACTAGGGCTCCACATTCCGAATCACATCAAGTTCCTAGTCACAAAACAGTCTGGGGTATGACATGGTCCTCCAGTGACAAGACAGAGCTCCTTGGCAAACAGGAGAATCAAGTATCAGTCAACAAACAAGGAGTTCAGAAAAAAGTCTCCAGGTCACTTCACTTGAATCAGAGCTTCACTTGGACCTTAGCTGCTCGGGGGTAAGCTGACCACTCTCCCTCCCACTACCATGACAAACAAACAAACTGCACAAGGTTGGCCATAACGGGCTCTACCAAATCTTTGTGGAGTCTAGTCTACATAGCAGCTGATGAGCATGAGAGGCCCAAACCAAGCTCATGAGTAAAGGGAGCACACTCCAGGCCTGGGGAAAAGGGCTGTGATTTCAGGCAGCAGATGGATTTTGTCAGGGAATAGGGGATAGTTAACCCTACCCAGAGTGAGCACCAGTGCCTGCTTCCAGTGGCAGCCAGTTTTGGGCCTCCCAGCAGGTTTAAGAACAGGGTCTGAGGAAACACCAGCTCCCAGCTCTAGACACTGCACACCTAAACCAACATCACAAGTCGGTCTTTCCACCAGTACAACTTCACAGGTCCTTGAACCAGCCAGGAAACTTTGGTACCTTTGCACATGCTATTTCCTCTTTGTTAATGCCTTCCTGACATTCAAACTCCAGTTCATATGACAAGACCTACCCTAAACATTGTCTCCTCTCTCAGACCTGTTCTCAGGCACTCTCCAGTCTCCACCTCACCCACCCTATACCCATTAAAGTATCAAAACACTCCTCTCTTTCAATGTCAACAGCATTATATTACAACTTCCTTAGGCTCCTTGAGGGCAGGAGCATCTCTGAGGTATTACTGCAAGCCCAAATAAAGTTTAAACGAATGGAAATAAACTAGGGCTTGCATATGTTTGTAGCCTAATCCAATCAGAGCCATGCAGTCTGTGATTTGCCTTAATCCCAAAGAGGACTCGGAATTGGGCGTGGTCACTTTCCTCCAGAAAATTATTTCAGAAAGCATGCCTGGAGTCTGTATTTTAGAGCGAAAGGCAAGTTGCGA